AACAACCATTTGAAAGAAAGAAATAAGTATTCTGAGACTGGTTGGTAATTAGTTGCTGGAGGTTATCACAGTCATCGGTAGTTTATGTGAAAGTAGTCAACAGGTCTGCAAACACTTGCAAACTATTCCCAAGGCTGTAGTTAAACAGTAAAAAGTATGTCATGAACCAGAAACTTTTCATATTTTGAAATGTGATTGTTACACTGGTAAGGCACAAATGTTATTTTCAAGGTGGATGTTCATCATTTCTGGTTTCCATTGCGCTTTTTCAAGTTTCACTACAGCTCTCAGAGCTAGTTTCTAAGTCTGTCTTGTGTTTGCAGAAAAGTCATCTTACGTGTAAATTGCAGAAACTTTTGAGCTACCAAAGCAAACAAAAGCAGGTGTCAAGTGCAGCACCCTCTTTACAGTCGATGTCATCCAGAGACTCCCATTAACAATTTGCCAACTGAGATTACACATTTTCCCATAGCAACCATAGGTTGCCACAGAGTTACCAACCAGTATCCAGGCCTACAAGTGAGACCTTAAATAAGCTCGTCTCATCTGTGTTCTAGTCCCAATAAACAACCAAATTAACACAGAGCATGGACTGATAGAAGATATTATTTTCAGTGGCTATAACTGCTGTTTGAAGGTATTAATGTCTTTGTAATCTAGTTAGACCAAGCTATACCGAAAGCAGTTTAATCTGCTTTGTAATTTCTGAGTCAAAAGGAATACTTAGCAACTATCCATCCATCCATCCATCCATCCATCCATCCATCCATTCGCTTCCGCTCATCCTTTTCAGGGTCGCGGGGGATGCTGGAGCCTATCCCAGCTGTCATAGGCGAGAGGCGGGGTACACCCTGGACAGGTCGCCAGTCTGTCGCAGGGCAACTAGCAAGTATTAAAATAAGATGCATTTTAAATAAGAGTGTGTCTTTTTATCTTTCTATGCTAGCCTAAACATACCTTGAAACACAACCTAACTAGTACTCAGTACGAAGTAGTTAAAAGGTGTTATCCCCCCAGTATTTTAGATGAAACAATTTGATGGAAGTAATTAATTAGTCAGCCAAAGTTGCACTAATACTAATAAAGCTGCATGCACACAGGGAGCAATTCGCACATCTCACATCCCTTTGAAGCTGACAGTTTGTTGCTAGTGGTCATTTCAAGCTTCACTTCAGTTCAGTGTATTTACTGTCCAATTATAGGCCAGTCATCAATGTCCTATGCTCCTGTTGGTAATTGCTTCATTCGCTCGTCTTGAAGTTAAAAAAAGTGTATCTCCGCCTACCTTACATTGTCAGCAGTTTTTTTCACCCATAAGTACTGAAATTCATTGACTTTCTCTGGTGTCTGGTCACAACGTTGCTGTGGTTGCTCCCTATATGGATGCAGCTTAACACCTATTAAGTTAACCAGAATTTCACACCATGTGGTCATAGGCCTACTACTCTAACTGACACACTGTGGTGACACACATCTCACAATGTGTCACATTGTTTTTGTAGTTTTTGAGTCAAGAAGCATACTAATAGTAAGGTATGTTTA